TATGTATCTTCAGTATATATCTTGTATACGTCTTTATCAACTGCTCTCATTATATGTAAGATTATGTTTGTTCTATCAATTAGATCCTCCTACTTCTTATGTTTCTAAATCTTTTTTGCTCCTTCAGGGGCCAAAATTGGAATAATAAAATCCTGTATCTTGCATAAATTTGATGTTACATGTCGTTTAAATTTTGCTCAATTTTTCTCTTTGATTAAATGGAGTCGTCTACCCGAAGTATTCATATAAACAATATTGCTCTTATGTATGCGATATTTAATTTATGCGGCATAATGTTTACACATTATTTTAGTGCGACGTTTAGGAATTCAACTTTGATATATCAAAGTGTATAAGTCGTCTAAAACATATCAGAAAAGTATTTTTTCACCAGAGATTGTTGTCATTATTAAATTGCCAAACCTTGAAGAAGGATATGTAGATAACGAACAGTACACAATCTCAAAGTCCATTAAACAATACAAAATAAGAGAAGAGCAAACACGGACCACAGAAATATCAGAGGTGGGATCAGGTGCCATGGAAGAGTGAGCATCCCCTGCCGACCGGTCACACCCGCCGTGTGCTCCTTGTCATGATCAGGAAATAACGGAAAAAATCCTTCGTCAATTCAGTGTATTAACTAGAGGTACTGTGAGCAATGAGCTCACTAAATAATACACCCCGCCACAAATATGAATATAATGGCAGTATCCATGTTTTGCTCTGGAAAATTCAAAATATATGTCAGATAAAAAATGAAATAGGAGGTCACAATGGCAATATATAATAAAGATTCTGTGAAAGTTTCATTAAATTTCCTTCATTGGTAAGAGAAGGGTACCCCAAAGCGTAACAGACGGATGGACGGACAGACGGACGGACGGAATTTACGATTACTATATACCCTCCCACTTTTCAAGCGGGGGGTATAATAATGGACTAACAATTCGTATGAAAAACGTCAGTTAGCATTTGACTCAATGATAAACTGTATTTGCTGACATGATCATTGTATCGACCATAAAACTTACGAAATGATGACTTTAAACAAGACTTAGTCTAGTATTTGAAGTAATTGTATTTGTCAACATTTTAGTTGCATGTCTGTATAATTATTTTGCATGTTGACATAATTTACGTGGCATGTTCACATAAAATAGTTTCATTTCTTCATGATTAACTCTCATGTTGACATAATCATCTTACTTGTTCACATGATTATCTTGCGTGTTAACATAAGTCAACCGCATCTTTTCATAATTATATGTTAAATCTTGCATCTACGATATCAGATACGGGCTTACGTTCGTAATATTTACCATATTACATGTAAGATAAGATTTTCATACAAGATTTGTAACTTGCATGTCAACCAGGGATGGCAATTTTCAATTAATATATATAAATCCTAAAAAAAAAATAAGAAAAGTAGAGGAAATTCGGATTAGCAAACATCCATTTTATTTAAATTATCCATGTCAATTTGGTAATTTTATCTTATAGGCTCTATGTGGTAGTATCTATTTATGCAAAAAAAACATTCAATCACTTAAATAACAAGTAGGGATCGCATGATTGGAAAGGGTAAATTTTTTTATTCTTAATGTTCAGCAAAGGGTATTGACCTTGACCTGACCTTGCCTCTAATATTAAACGGTCAAATTTAATCTCACTGATTCCATCACTTAGTGATATTGTCCTCTTGACTCTGTGAACATTCTCATAAATTTATAAATACAAAAAATGTAATCCTACCTTCAATTGAAATAAATTTTAATAAGTGTAATAAGTCAAAATATAATATTACATGTATTCCTGCATGTAACATCCTCTTGGCCTTATTAGGTCACCTGAGTCACTCAGGTGACCTATTGCTATCCGTTTTCGTCCGTCGTCGTCCGTCGTGTGTCGTGTATCGTGTGTCGTGTGTTAACATTTGAACATTTTCAGCTTCTTCTCTGAAACCATTAAACCAATTTCAACCAAATTTGGTATACAGCATCTATGGGTAAAGGGAAACAAAAATTGTGAATTTCATGGTCTCCGCCCCCCTGGGGCCTGAGGGGTGGGGCCAAAACCACTAAAATTAGTGCAATCTTTAAAAATCTTCTTCTTTACTCCTGGACATCAAGCAGGCTAACTGTTGACATGAATGTAATAATCATTGAGTCCTCTACCAAAATTGTGAAATTCATGGCCCCAGGGTCAGGGGTTCTAGTGCTAGGGTGGGGCTAAATAGGTTATATAGTGAAAATGCATTATTTCCTTAAAAATCTTTTCTCTGCTCCTGGGTATTAAGTAAACTAACTAAGTACATAGTTATGATAAGCAAGAGTGCCCCTTTCAAATTTGTGAATTTCATGGCCCCAGGGTCAGGGGTTCTGGTGTTAGGGCGGGGCTCTATTGATTATATAGTGAAAATGCATTGAATCTCTGAAAATCTTCTTCTCTGCTCTGGGGTAGTAAATAAACTAACTAAGTGAATAGTTATGATGAGCAAGAGTGCCTATTTCAAATTTGTGAATTTCATGGCCCCAGGGTCAGGGGTTCTGGTGTTAAGGCGGGGCTCTATTGATTATATAGTGAAAATGCATTGAATCTCTGAAAATCTTCTTCTCTGCTCCGAGGTATTAAATAAACTAACTAAGTACATAGTTATGATAAGCAAGAGTGCCTCTTCCAAATTTGTGAATTTCTTGGCCCCAGGATCAGGGGTTCCAGTGCTAGGGCGGGGCTATATAGATTATTCAGTGAAAATGCATTATTTAAAAAAAAAATTCTCCTCTGATCCTGAGTATTAAATAAACTAACTAAGTACATAGTTATAATGAGCAAGAGTGCCTCTTCCAAATATGTTAATTTCATGGCCCCTATGTCAGGGGTTTAGGTATTTGGTGTAAGGAGAGGGAGGCTCTACATTACATAAATTCTTTGGAAATCTTTTCCTTTGCTCCTGGGTATTATGCCACTGATCTAAGTATATATATATATATATATATATATATATATATATATATATATATATATATATATATATATATATATATATATATATATATATATATATATATATATATATATATGATGAGAAAAGGTGAATCTAGCAAAATGGTTAATTTCATGCCCCCCCCCCCCCGGGGGCAGGGGTATCGGGGTGGGGGGGGGTATATAGTCTGAAAATAAATGAATGCTTTGATTTTTACTCATTAGTATCAATTAACCATATTTGATGAAATAACATTTATGATGATAAAATTTTGAAATATGTGGCCCCAGGGTCTATGGTTTCTGTGGGATGGGGTGCACAATTGCATGGTTTAGAATGGAAGTGCATTTTCCTCTTACTTACTCTGATCTACTTATAGGTGTTAAGTGACTATCTAGTAAGCATTGCTAAGTGTATAATTATGATAAGCAGTAGTGCCTCTTTGCAAAATTGTGAATTTCATGGCCTCGGTTTAAAACACAAACTAAATTCAATTGTTGGAAAGTTGTTACATGAAACTCAGGTGACCTATAAGGCCCGTACGCCTCTTGTTTATTTTAGGGGAGCTTAACATTTAGGAATAATTATGCCGATAATTTTTGATAGGAATAACCGATTCATCGGTCGGAACGTCTTGCGGTTAACCGCGATTGGCAATTCTTTATTCCATTGCCATCCCCCTAATGTCAACATAATTATCTTTCATGTAGACAAAAGTATCTTGCATGTTGAAATAATTTTGGTGCATGTTAACATTTCTTATCTTGCATTTAGGCGGCAGAAATATGCTACTTTGTATTGTAAAAAAGATTAAGCAATTTTGTAAAAAATGAATAGTACTTTTTGGGCCTAAGCGAGACTCGCTGTGCAATACTTCCGGTGAAAAACATTTGTCACATGTGCATACTGTATACAGGGAAATTTTCGTCCCTGTTTTATTTTCACCCCTTTCGCCCTTTCCTCATTTGGACGAATTTAAAACGGGGCGAAATGAAATAATACAGTATAATTTCTTTTATAAAGCTATGATTGGGCGAATTCAAAACGGGGCAAAATCGTTTGCAAGTGTGAATGGGCGAAAATTAAACGGGGCGAAAATAACCCTGTATACAGTATATTGTGGTATCATGTTAAGTTTCGTTTCCAATCGTTTTTTTTTTCAAAATGGCATGGACAACCTTAACCTCTTAAACTCAACAAAAAGTGGCTGCATCATATCAAAAAGGAATATATGTCTAGATTTTGAATGTTCTTACAAACCTAAAAATTCCACGAGAATAGGTCAAGCTTTGGGTGTTTTTCGGGAACCTACGTGCATAAATTCGGTAAAAAAATTGGAAAAATAAACCTAAGAATATAAAGACACTCTTGCGCTGCAAAGGAAAAAAATTATCATTACTTAAAAACCATACTTAATATTTTAACGGATCAATTTTAACATAATAAAAATAATTGATTTCTGATATGGAAAATTTGAATTCAATCAGCCTTAAGAATCTTTTTCATCAATATTGCCTCTACAGTTACAGAACATAATTTATTTATGATTCTAGATGAAACAACAGTACCTTTAGAATCTTCAACCAAAGCTGTTACAACAAATACACAGTCCACTGATAGTCTAACAACAGTGATAACAACAGATAATACAGAATCCTCAGTACCTTTAGAATCATCAACCAAAGCTGTTACAACAAATACACAGTCCACTGATGGTCTAACAACACTGATAACAACAGATAATACAGATTCCACTGCCTTCACAATCTTCAACCCAAACTGTTACAACAAATACACTGTCTACTGAGAGTTTAACAACACTGATAACAACAGAAAATACAGAATCCTCAGTGCCTTCACAATCTACAACCCAAGCTGTTACAACAAATATACCGTCTACTGATCAACCAACAACACTGATAACAACAGAAAATACAGATTCCACAGTGCCTTCACAATCTTCAACCAAAGCTGTTACAACAAATACACCGTCTTCTGATCAACCAACAACACTGATAACAACAGATAATACAGATTCCACAGTGCCTTCACAATCTTCAACCCAAGCTGTTACAACAAATACACCGTCTTCTGATCAACCAACAACACTGATAACAACAGATAATACAGATTCCACAGTGCCTTCACAATCTTCAACCCAAACTGGTACAACAAATACACCGTCTACTGATGGTCAAACAACACTGATAACAACAGATAATACAGAATCTTCGACCCAAGCTGTTTCAACAAATACACCGTCTACTGATCAACCAACAACACTGATAACAACAGATAATAAAGAATCATCAGTGCCTTCACAACATTCAACTCAGGCAGTAACGACAACTACTGCGTTTACTGATGAACTGACAACACAGATTGTAACAGACAACACGGAATCCACGACATCCTCACAACCATCTACCCGATCTGAAGCAACATTAACACAACCCAATGATAACACAATGACAAGTACATCAACGAAAAAAACATCTACAACATTGATGGCAATTTTGACTGGTGACGTCAGCTTGGATTCGAAAACTACATTATTGCCTTCCACTACTTCAACATCAACATCTGGTTTGATCTTACAAACGATGGATAGATATAAGGCCCCATTAATTGGTAGCAGCATTGTTTTTGTATGCGCTATTATTACGATATCTGTTCTCATGTGCTCAAAAAACAGGTAAAAAATCAGATTATATATTAAAACAGTTGAAAATATATTTTAAAAAGTATGCTTTATCTATAAATATACATTGATCAAATTTGTACGTACGAAAAAGAAATTGTATTTCTTGTTTGATAGGTGGGTCTAATAACATTTACAAAAACATAAAATCACTGTCTAAATATGAAAATCCACTTAATGTTTTTCTCATTTTAGAAAACCTGTCAACACAATTCAAAGAAATGAATGGGATAAGACTTCAGAAAGACATATTAGCAACTCTTCAGTTTACAGTCCTTCTGTCTTTCAGTCCTACTGTAGTAGAGGATCTCTGATATCATCTCTCGGGACATACCGACAGGATAACGGTTACACCTTTTACTCCTACAAGAACTCCACTTATTGATTTGAAAATGATTACATTTACAATATCTTTGTATATTTACAATTTGTAATTTTATCTCAGACAAATATAAAAATCTAATGGTTCATCGAAAGGCGCAGAGACAGAAGCAGGACTATTAATTTTAGCATGTGGATTTGCCGAATTAGGAGCATGTAAAAAAAGGAATAAATGTCAAATGTTTTTTAATTCATGACGAGGATCACTGTATTGGCTTGCATGATAATTTTATGCATAAACAAAGAACCACGCAGGCCACTCGATTGATCACATCATGAATCCAAACAAGAGGCCCATGGGCCTTATAGGTCACCTGAGCATCATGCAACAACTTTCAAGTGATTGAATTTGGTTCATGTTTTAAGCTAGATGCTATGGCATTCACAATTTTGAAAGAGGCGCCATTGCTAATCATAGCTATACACTATGCAATTGTTTAGTTTGTTTACTTAATACCGATAAGCAGGGTAGGGGAACAAAAAAGTATGTCAACTAATCAGTAATATTCAGCAAAAATCAGGAGTGTTCCTACCATACATGAACCCCTGATCCTATAGGTCTACACAATGCACAATTTTTGAAAAGGCACACTTACTTATCAAAAATGTTTAATACCAAGGAGCAGATTTCAAACAATTCTTTTTTAGTATATAAGTAAAGCCCCCCTCCCCATTTTGGTATCCCTGACCCAGGGGCCTTGAAATTCACAATTCTAGAAGAGCCCATCATAACTATGTAAATGGTTCATCTGCTTAATACCCAGGAGTAGAGAAAAATATTTCATAGATGTAATGTATTTTAACCATATAATCATTATAGAGCCCCGCCCTAACACCAGAACCTCTGACCCTGGGGCCATGAATTTCACATTTTGGTAGAGGACTCAATGCTGATTACAATCATATCAACAGTTTGACTGCTTGATGTCCGGGAGTAAAGAAGAAGATTTTTAAATATTGCACTAATTTTAGTGGTTTTTGCCCCATCCCCCCGGGGGGGGGGGGGGGGGGGGGTGGGTGGGGTGGGGGCAGGGACCACAAAATTCACAATTTTTGTTCCCCTTCATCCATAGATGCTATATGCCGAAATTGGTTGAAATTAATTTAGTGGCTTCAGAAAGAAGGCTGAAAATGTTTAAATGTTAACGCATGAGGCACGAAAGACGACGGACAAAAACAGATAGCAATAGGTCACCTGAATTTACTCAAGTGACCTAAAAAATTGACATTTATTCCTTAAATAAGCTAATTTGTTTGTGTACAATGCAGATTGTTCAGTTCTTTTCCTTTGTAAAACAGACTCATCTCTTCTTTTTGCAGTATATTTATTTTCATCTAGAATCTAGAACATTTACAAAAGAAAGGAGTTTCTTATATTAATTCATTTCTTTCCAAATCTAACCATCAGAAAATAACTGTGTCAAAAGTCAAAAATAAAAAAAAAATGTCTTATATACGAGGGTTGATCCAAAAATTCCTGGAATTTCTTTCTAAAATTTTATCGTAATTTGATGAGGGCATATTTATAATATAAAGTCATAATGCAACAATGCTAGAAAAAAATTATTACGTTCCAATTACCGAAAAAGTCATACAAGCTCTCTGAAAATGAATAGTTATAATATCCGGGGGAGACTTCGACGTAACGTACCTATGTCAAGAACAGTGCGCCAGTCGACGAGGTCTACCAAGGCTTTTAATTTGCCTAGGTGGATAAACACTTAAAGCAGAGCCTCTAAAAGGCGTCCACATCTTTAATCAACGTCCATGGAAGTTCTTCTTTTCATAAATGTCATGTGCCACTGGAAAACCTGTAACTAAATGCATTTTCCCCAAGCCTATTTCAATGAATATTTCCATTTCTAAATTTTTTCTGTATAATAACCCTTTGAAAGAAAGCGGAGTTGATTTCCTGAAAATTTTGCCGGAATGTCAATTAGGCAGGTCGATAGGTCAGCAGCTAAGGAGGCCTAATAAGCATGCAAATCTCGTTTGCATCAGTCTCTGTGTCTGACGCTAAGGAGGCCAAGTATGCATGTATATCTCGTGCTGCTACCTTTGTGTTTGACGTCAGTGTGCGAGGAGTATTGAAATTGGCATGGAAGTCCTCGTATAATTTAAATCGATTAGTCTACATTCTTAAATTCTAAGTCCACAATTTTATTTCACAATGAAATGGTAATATAAGGAATCACTGTCTAGTTTTGAGAGTATGCCAGAGACATCAACAATAGTGGGAAACATGGGATAATTTTAGCATAACGGGCTTCGCCCATTATGCAAATTATCCCATGTTTCCCACTATTGTTGATGCCTTGGCATACTCTCAAAACTAGACAGTGATTCCTTAATTTAATCGTTTAAGATAGAGTGATCCTAGGATTTTCACAAAACTTATGGCTCAACCAAAATTTGACGTTGTCCAACAAGTTAAAGTTTAACAATAAATCTTCAGTCAATAAACTAAATATCCAGTTATTTCAGTAAAAATTTTGATCAAATGTTTATCAAACATCAAGCAATCGTACAGTGTAATAAAAATGTCAAAATTTTCATTTTAAATACTTTAAAATCACAAATATTCGTGGGGGATTAAATTTCGATAATTTTGTTGTTAACAATTTCCAAAGAAATTTAATCTCACATGAATTTTATATGACTATATATTGAAAAGGCTTACTCTCAAAACAAACTATATTTGATGACAAATCAACGAAATTTTATACCCACGAAGATTTGTGCTTCTACAGTACCACATGGGGTGGTTTTATTCTCATTTCAAGTATTAGGAACAAAAATGATAATAAAGGTGTCAACGTCTCCCCTGCATTTCCAAACAACCGTTTCCATGGCAACTGCCATAGATTTACTATAATAAATATTCAAAACGCATTTTATTTGAAATATTCAACTAGTGTCTATGTTCTCATCAATTTTGTAATTCTCAAAATATGGAGAAATTCTATTAAATTTACGATCAACTTTCTTATATGGAAGTAATTCTTTTAATTTCAAATTGTGAAGTATGATATAGTTGAATGTATAGTTTAATTTATTCAAGGGGTATTTTTTATAAGCTTTCACATGTGTACAAAGCAAACTTGATGCATAATTATACAGTCTAATTATATCATTGAAGAAATTGGCAAGATTTCAGTTCACAAAGGTCAGGACTATATTACATTATATGTATTACTTGTCTTACACTACTGTCTAGTAGTTTTAAGTGTAATATTCATGTGTATAAAGGTATATTTTTGATAAAGACAAATAGTTAGTTTCTTAGATGTATTTTTGAAATATTTTGATTGGTGTACTTTGAATTTAACAATGAAAGATATTTGCTTTATTTGATCTTTGGAAAGAGCACTGCTGCACGTGTTTGTAATTTCTCAAAGTTGACATCTCTCTTTATCCCACGGTATCGATTCTATTAGCTCATAATAGTTATCACTGACAGGTTTATGGTCAGATCGTAGACTGGTTTTTCTTTGAATTAGTTGTGCTTACCCAAATTGTTTCCTTTGTTATAGATTATTATCATTGAGCTTTCCCCAAATTTTACTACTGTATTTGAGTTGTTTTATTTGTTTGTTTATGGAAAGTGGGAGGAGTTGTCAAAAATGAGACGTACGTGCATGAGTGAGTTTGCCTGTAATTAACTCTCACTTTTGGAAATTTTGTGTTAAAACGTTATTTTTGATTTTGTACTTAAATGAATTCTAAACTTTAACCAGGAATTATTATGTCGACAACTTGATTATCGTTTCAGAACAATATAATTACTACATAAGATTTTTCATTTTAGACCATTATACGTGCCTTCAAAATTGTATGTATATTTGTACAATGTATCTTTATCCTAACGACTTAGAATTTGATCAAATTATAGTGCACTTGTTATTTGAAGAATTGTTTACAATTAAAATTTTGGTTTTATTCCACCTAAGGTGCTCGGACACCCCCCTCTCCCCCAAGCATATTACACCACCAATATACCTGCAGTGTATATACCACGGGTTGTGAATGGATAAAATTTTATCAAACAATATTTACTTTGCCTCTGAGGTTCGCTGATAATAAATCATACTTAACCACAATCCAATTGAAGGAGATTTTTTTAGTATATAACAGGATTAGCACTAATTTTATCAATTCAACCTAACGTTTTCTTTTAGAATAAATAAATTACAAATTATACATCAAACTTGACAGAATTTCAGGAAGTATAAAAATTCAAATCCTAGTAGAGACCATTGTAATTCTACACAAGATTTATGCCTTTTTGCTCTCTACCCCAAAGAATGGTCAAAGCTGATTAAGTTTTATCTATAGGACAAGCTGGAATATTCAAAAGGTTATGACAGACAATGCATGAAACAAGAAACCAAGTGAAAAAAGACGAGGTAAAGATCACATAAGTGACAAAATTTGTATTAATATATTCAAGACGCTTCATATTGGGAATCTGGCTGTCATACATTCAATCATGTAATTGTTCAAAAATCATATTAATAACCATATACACTGTACATGTAGGAATAAACATACTAGATCATAAATATTGTTTTATTCTATACAATCAGATTCCTCCATGTTACAAAGAGATAATCAAATGACACCCAGTCTGTATACAGTAATATTTAGTATAACTACATTTGATGCGTTAGAAATTCATTTGATTTAGGGTGCTTATTCAAATCATAACAAATTAACAAAAATAAAAAACAAATTCATGATAAAAACAGAAATATTATATCACAGAATATTGACCCGTTTTTTATCAAATAATATCGAAAAAAGTCTATAACATATTTCTTCCTGGCATTTTTCAAATTTTCAATGTTTCTGTTCAAGTGTCAAGGGGCATTCATGAATGTAGAGTTAATACGTCACACCTCTAGATCTTGCATTGTTGCCCATGACAACCCACTTTTGACCTTGACTGGCATTTTAACAGACAAGGTCATGGCTGACTCCATTTCCTGTCTGATGACCTTGGCTGCTTGTCTCACACAGGTCTGTGTCACGTCATATATCAGTTCATCGTGAAGTTGTAGAACTAAACAACATCTGTCACCGGATACATCAACAGTGGGATCTAAAGCCAACAAGATATGATAAGTACTAAAACTTTTCTTAAAACTTAAAAATTGTTTTGAAATGATAATAGATTAAATTAAGTTTACACAAGATGTGTGAGTGAAGCACTGTCTGATGCCCCTTGTTTAGCAGTTTATGGTCAACTTTAATTTTGCAAATACATTTCAAGGTCACACTGTCAAACTGAAAGGTTTTATCATAAGGAATGAACATATGAAATATGAAAGCCTTAGCAGCAGTCACGAGAACACGGTCATAACAATAAAATCTAACTCAAAGTTTTCAGGTGTTACATCAATATACATGTAAATGTATAAACTTACCTTGTTCCTTGTGTGAGAGATATTTCTGTGAGAGAGGAAATATTTCTGAGAGTCTCTGATCAATCCTGTTCATGGCGACCTTGACAAGGTCAGCAGCTGACCCCTGAACTGTGGTGTTAACAGCCTGTCTCTCTGCCTGGGATAGAAAGGATCACATTAAACCTTGACCTTGATTGAATCATCAGAGATGTAATACACTTTGATTTTTCATTTTTTTAAATTCTAAAGAATTAAGTTATAAGACCTTGATATGAGGTACTGCATAGGGGTCTGTGTTACTAACATAGGCCCAGACATTGATTTGTGTTACTTAATTAATATGCCCTGTTATAAAGTATATGTTACTTACATGAGCCCTGACATAGGGATTTGTATTTGAGATGGACGGAAGATACCGTCGTCGCCCACTGATAGTTTCCACAAACTTGTCCTTAATACATTTATCCACTGTGTTCTTAAGGTATCGCCTCATTCCTGCAACATAATTTTGTATGTCACATTCTGCATTGATTTTAATTTTTTTTTCAATCACACTGCTCAATAAGGTTAACATCATCATGATCATACCAGGGTATTTGGACTTGAAGGTCTGCATAAAAACTGCTGCATCATTTTCATCCACTCCCAACGTTTCGCCTAGTGCCTTGGCTCCAATACCATAGGTCATACCATAGAAAATCTGTATAAAGACAACAATACTATAGATCATACCATAGAAAAATCTGTATAAAGACAACAATACCATAGATCATACCATAACAAATCTATATAAAGACATTACCATAGATCATACCATAGCAAACCTGTATAAAGACCACAGATCATAACATAGCAGATTTGTGTAAAGACAACAATATCATAGACTATACCATAACAGTTCTGTATACATACAATACCATATACGTTACCATTTAAATAAAGTCAATAATACAATTGATGGGGAGGGGCAATTTTTTCAGTAGCAAATTATATTCATACACTACAAGAGACTGATTACATTCCCTATCTAGATTGACCTTTTGACCCCTAACCTTCTTTACCTGATTAGATTGACCTTTTGACCCCTAACCCTCTCTCTCCTGTTAAGATTAACCTTTCAACCCCTCATCTGTTTAGCCTGCTGTCTCTAACCTATTGACCCTGTGACCCCTCACCTGTTTAGCCTGCTGTCTCTCTGACCTTTTGACCCTGTGACCTCTCACCTGTTTAGCTTGCTGTCTCTCCTCTGGAGTGACCTCCTCCACGCTGATTGACTTCCACTGAGCCGTGATCAGTTTGAAAACGTCTCCGTCACCGTTCAAGATCTGTATCAGCTTGGCATCTTGGGATAGATGTGCAATCATGCGTAACTCCAACTGAGAGTAGTCAGCCGCCAGCAAAACACACCCTACATTGTATAACATAAATTTTATAATTAATAAGTTTTTAGAACTTATCAGTGGCAGTCAAGGTCAAAGTAATCAGTATTCAATCTAACCTTTCAGAAGTGCATGCATAAAAAATGTTTGTAATTAAGTCAACCTACGGTAGCCCGCATGGTGCAGTGGTTAGAGCGTCTGCTTTAGAATCGCAATGTAAGGAGTCAATCCTTACGCGTGGGTTCAAATCCCACTGTAAGATGTGGAGGCCAGTCCTTTGGATGAGACTATATAAACTGAGGCCTGTGTCAAAGTAGGCATTGGCATAGGCAATGCTCAATGGCCCTGAGAGCCAATTATAGGACAAAATTTGCATCTCTTCACCTGCAAGTGGTGGCCTCTCCGTATGGGTGAAAAATTCTCAAGAGGGATGTTAAACAACAAGCAAACAAACAAAAAGATATTCTTAAGGGTGCTCTCTACAACGTCACAACATGGCGTACTTCCGTAAAAACGCCATTTTGATCCCAAATGATCAGATTCAAATTCACCTAACACCGATAAATCACTGAGTATAACACAACATGCGATATTGTGGATGGAATGTACATTATATCACATCAATTAATATGTAGTGTATTGCCCAATACGTATCCTTTCTTTAAAAATGAATTGTTTGTCAATTTATTCCACTTCTGCTTATTTAATTATTAGATAATACATTTACAAACTTATTAGAATAATATTTTTAGGTAAGAAAAAAAAAATGATATAAAACATGGCTTGTCCATATGCTAATTCATCATTACGTGTCAAAACGCCATACACTCAGAAATTTCTTTCTTTAATAAGCATACAGTATATGCTTTCCAGCAAAATAAATCCCCCACAAAATGCAAATCTGATCAGATAAGACATATGTATTATCTTCCTATCGACTAGAGGTGATCTGTTCACGATTTGTATACACCCGAATGAATGGTTAACCCGGTGAAATTTCGAATGACCCAAACGTTTGATCAACATTGTCAGCTGTTTACAAGTATGGGAAACGTGCAGGTTTAAGACGAAGTGTGCATTTGGTTATAGGAATTTCTTTTACCGCTTTTGGCCATTTACCATCTTAACTTGTTTTGTTATATATAGCACTGGATAACACATGCAAGTTGGATAAAAACGGTTAGTGAATCTACCTTTCTCAATACCATGAATTCACTAAATACGTCTTTGTCATTCACTGGAAACGCGATGATTTTCGCTTAAACTAATTGAAAAACAATACATGCAATACGAACTTCTTTCAATGTCCTTGCGTGACCATTTGTTAATACTTGTGCAAGTAGAGTTTATTTGAAGTTTATAAAAAAAAAACAGTACCAAGATATTTGAGTCCACTCTTAAAGCGGATCTCTCACACCTGAATTTTTGTGATGTTTATAAATTTTTGACAGTTTTTCATTTTTTTTTCAATTTCTTTTTTTCATTGTTTTTACCCTTTGATATTATATATCTTTTCAGATATTGAAGAGGATCCAACCAGCTATTCTCAAGAAGATGCTGTTTTAGTTTTCTTTTGTCTATTTTTGTAAATTTAAATAAAAATTATGTTGATTTATTTTTAATTTTGTTGATTATTATTTCAATATTTTATAACACTAAACTTTAAAGAGAAATTTAAAGCAATGGGCATTTAAAAAGATTGATATGAGGGATTTTAACAAAAAAATAAAATATTTCAAATATTTCTAAAAAATAAATTGAAATACTTTGGAACCCTATTTTATCGGATATGGGGCCTAATATTAGAAACAAATGCATGCAACAAAAATCAGTTATACTTTAAAGGTGTAGAGATCCTCCTTAAGAATCCTGTTCTTTGGATTTTCATCATACTTTGAGAATGATAAAATTTAAAGATTGACCTAAAAAAGGGTTTACAGTATTAAGAGTCAAAATCAGCAAGCATCGAGCATTTAGTTAAAAAATGTGGAAAGTGGCATAGAAACAGATTTGGTTAAAACTCATATATAAATTTTCAGAACAAAGGGTATAATAGAAAAAAGCAAGCCAAAAATAATTTTTCGCATTGTTGCTATGGAAACCACGCGCCTTTCAAATAACGTGTTTTGTACTTTATCATGACACTTGAATTTATGGTTAAACAAATATTTTTTTATTACTAGTCATTAATAAATGCTTTTTAAATTATTATTCTATTTATCTAAAAATACTCTATTTTAACAACTGTTGATTATTGAAATTCTCTTCACCTTTTGATAAATAAAACTAGTTTTTGGAGGTTTATTTTGATTTAAAAAACAGCAAATTTGCAGTACTCTATAAGAAATCTACAACCACATTAAAGCTTATCAACATAAAATATATATTAAACAGTATTTGTCCTAGAAGAATCAAGAAAAAAATCTGCAGGCAACTAAAGCATTTATATATGATAACTGATTTAAATCCATAATTATGTTCCCCAGACGAAGTTGGGGAACATATTGTTTTTACTCTGTTTCTTATTATGTTCCCCAAACGAAGTTGGGGAACATATTGTTTTTACTCTGTTTCTTATTATTATTATTATGTTCCCCAAGAAGTTGGGGAACATATTGTTTTTACTCTGTTTCTTATTAAAGGTCTTCCGTCTTCAGCGGAAGACCTTCTAGTGATTCTACTGTTTCTTATTATTATTATTATTATTATTATTCTTATTTTTTTCCCCAAAATTTTGTGCAGGCGATTTCTCGAAAACTATTCGGTGGTTTTCAATGAAATTTTCAGGAATCATGCGTCATTATATGAACTTTGTTCATCAGAAGGAAAATTTGGAATACTCACCTTGGTTAAGTTATTGACATTTTTCTGATTTTAAAATGGATTTTTGTCGCCCCTATTTTACGAAAATGGTCTAAGATATTAACTGGAGACTTGTTAGAGATGATAAAATGATGACTTTTAGATATGTGAAATCACCTTTTTGTGTGTCGTCAGTACTTCCGGTCGCTATCGGAAGCGAATTTAAAAACTCCGTATTTTCTAACTTTTTTGTT